ACGACTTTCTCAAACAGAAGCAAGATTCACGAACCATCGGATTTTCAACAGTCGATGTTTGAAAAATCATATAACTCCAAAATATTTACACATACGCACTCCAATTACTTCAAGAAAAATATCGTCAGCAGCTGAACATCTCAGTAGATTATGTTTAAGAGAAGAACTACATCGAATTACTGTGAAACTCAATAATATACGAAATGAAATCGAAAAACTCAAACGGAAACTCAAATGTATGGTCAATGACAAAGATTATGTAATTGTTGTTGAAACATCCGAAAAAGCTAGAGAATCAGCATCAAGAAAATCAAAAGCCACACAAATCAAAAAATTCAACAAACTAATTGAAGAAAGGAACACAGCAAATAAAATTGATGTCAACGCTTCATCCTCTATCGACAGAACAAAGTGGGTGATCAACCTCTCATCAAAAGAACTAAGCTCTAGTGAGATAAAAGTACTTGAGAAAGGACTAAATTTCAATGTAACAGTTAACAAATTAAAACCAGAGGATGTCATTCCTAGCATAGAAGTAGCGCTAGGTTCAATAGATAAGACAACAGCAGAAGGGGTTCGAGCACAATGTGCATTAACCCTGAAAAATCAAAAGAAGGCAAAATCAAACTTAACAAAATTGGAAAGAGAAGCTTTAATTAGTCTAAAACAGGATAAAAATATTGTCATTGCAAAAGCTGATAAAGGAAACGCCACCGTAGTTCTGAATAAATCTGACTATATCAAAAAAGTTATTGAACATATTCAAACGGGTCCATATGAGGAAATTAAGAAGCCTGTAGATACAATAATGAATAAGGTTAAGAAATCTACAACAGAACTAATACGCAGAATGAAGCCGTCACTGGGTGAGTCTAAATGGTTTAACTTAATGCCTAAAACTAATAATGCTAGTAGATTATATGGTACTATTAAAATACATAAGCCAGGATACCCAATAAGGCCAATAGTAGATTTTAGAAATACCCCAACTTATGAATTATCAAAACACTTAGCTTCAATACTATGCCCTATCAGAAATAATTCAAACTCTAGATTAACTAATTCATATGAGATGAAAAGTAAACTAAATGACATTCAACTAGCTAATGACGAAACAATGGTCAGTTTTGATATAACCAGTCTTTATACTAATATACCAGTCAATATGGCCTTAGAAGCAGTTAAAAAAGAACTAACTGCGGATACTGAACTCAATCATAGGACAAAGCTGTCCATTGAAGAAATTATTTTAGGGATTCAGCTATGCCTCACATCTACTATCTTCAAGTTCCAAGGCAAAATATATAGACAAACAGAAGGTGTAGCAATGGGATCACCAATATCCCCTATTGTAGCAGACATCTTTATGGACAGCTGGGAAAATAGTGCTCTCAATACATTTAATCCTAGGCCAAAAATATGGTGGAGATATGTAGATGACACATTCACAGTGTTAAAAACAGAACATATCTCTAGCTTCTTAACACATATAAACTCACAAGTAGAAGGAATAAAATTCACATTTGAATCAGAAAATGAACAAGGAGAATTAACCATGTTAGATTGTAAGATAAAACGAATAGAAAAAGGCGAACTACACACTAGTGTTTATAGAAAACCAACGCATTCTAATAGATATTTAGACTTTAATTCATCTCATCCGTTAACTGTTAAGGCAGGCTTGGTTAAGTGTCTGACAAACCGAGCCATAGCTCTAAGTAGCACAAAAAAGGACCTAAATGATGAAATAAAACAGATAGAAGAAGCGTTGGTGGTGAATAACTATCCTATAAAATTCATTAAGAAGATCAGTAAACGCCAAAAACAAAATAAAAATAATTGTGTAACTAGTAGTAATAACATAAATAAGAGAGAATATAAGTCTTCTACTGTTATACCATATAAGGAGGGGACATCTGAGGCCATACGTAGGATTCTCAATAAAGCAGGAATTAGGGTGGCATTCAAACCAACAAACTCACTCAGAGACAAACTTTGTAGGTTAAAGGACCCGTTGGACCCCATTAAACAAAATAATATAATTTATAAAATACCTTGCAATGACTGTGAAGTCAAGTACATAGGTCAAACTAGTAGGTCAGGGATAGTAAGATTATCAGAACATAAGAATTTAGCTAAAGGGAAAATGATTGACCCTGAAAAGATAAGTAATTTAGAAAAAAGCTCAGCTATTGCACTTCACGCAATAACAAACAACCACACAATAGGGTGGGATAGGGTTAAAATTCTAAAAAGTAATATAGGTAGGTGGAAAGAGAGGTTGATTACGGAATCCTTATTCATCGAGTCTACACCCAACACATGCAACAGAAGTGACTCAATGCAAATACCAGAAATATGGAAGATATTATTACCGCCAGTCAAATCAGAAGAAGATAAATAGTCTTAAAATTCTATTTCCTTTCAAGCACATCATAACATTCTAACAATCAACTTATTATGACTATAAAAACACTCGTCGTAATTCCCATCTAATTGCAATGGATTAATAACACTCGTATTATTGCTACCAGTCAAATCAGAAGCGGATAATAAATAATCTTAAATTGTATTCTATTTCCATTCAAACACATCAAAACACTCTATCAATCAACTTATTATGACTGTAAAAACACTCGTTGTATTTCCCATCTAATTGCAATGGATTAATAACACTCGTACTATTATTTCTGAATGTACATTATCTCATATTGAATTTTATTCCAATATCTAGTCGATTCCACACATGTATATAAATGAAGGAAAGAAGTTGTGTGAGTAACTTGATATGATTATGAGCAATAGTTTGTGCTCGAAACGTCATCAGTTAATATAACTGTACTACACTGTGTGATTTAAAAATAAATTCTTATCCATTATGGAATTATACTCTACCACAGTGCCCAAGTTTTATACTTATATCAATGGTGGTGATTAATCATAATAGATTTGTATAGTGTGGGGTAGGAAAATTGACAAGTCAGTTCAAGGTTATAAAAGGTTTCAGGTGAGCGGCTAGTACAAAGTGGTCTGTGTTAAACAGGAGATAGTAAGACTGCAATGAGAGGTTCATAATGAAATAACGAATATGTGAAATGAAACAGGTGGAGGCATATATTGAGAAAAGAGATAATATCACTAATAATAAGTCCGGATAGTATAAATGAAATATTCGATAGTATTGAGAGAATGTTTGCATGATGGACATAAATTATGACGAATAATAATAATAAGCAAAGGAAAAATATCCAAGAGGGTTGAGGGGAAGGAGCACTCTTGGTGAGAAGAAGAATCATCAATCCAAGTTTGGCCACTGTCGGAACAGCGTCTGGACGTGTTCTTTTTGGATACAAAGTTCCGGTTTAGTCAATCTTATTGCAACAGCTTCAGCTATGTGTAGGAGACGTAAGCGAACTGTACGTGATAACGACTTCGGAATTCGGTATATAACCCTGAAAGCTGTATTGACATCAATACGATGTCCAGTATAAACCAAGTGTGACAGGATCGAGCTTTTTAAGCGCCATTGTCTCCCGTTTTACAATATTTTGTAATCGATTTCAGCCTAGCACGTTTGTCACACAAATATGACTATTTATTTTGACACCCCATAACTACTAATCTGTTATTCTACGTTAAAAATGTATCCGCCGCATAACTGGCCTTTATTGTAACGACAACAAATATATTATATTTTATAATTGTAAGAAGCTGAAGAGAAATTATTGAAAAGAATATTCTTCGTTCAGATTGACTTTTAATTAATAATATGGGAATATTCCACACTATCAAATCTTACAACTAAATGTAGTTAGGTCTGTGTTAATGACGACCCGGAGATCGGCGAGATTTCCAACAGTTACTGATAAAAACGAAACAGAAACTCCTATGCTAATTTCTAATCCTAATCTTTGGTACACAGTCATTGATACCTTTGATACTAGTCAATTCTACTTCGCATTTTCCGATTCATTCATGCTCTTTCATTGATTCTGGTTCATTAACTTAACAGTTACCTATGCATACATCATAAGCAGAATATACGCCATAGAAATTCAAATAATACATGTGCGTCTACTTTAAAATGATGGATAAACAGAGTGGGCGAATTCGGAAATGAACAACTAACAATAATTTCTACATTTCCAAGACTGATCACAAACTAATTTCAGTTAAAGACATTGAAAACCAGCAGGGAGGAGTACTGGGAAGCTGTTTCGTCCTTATTCTGCACTCTTCTGCAACAGCGACTCAAGATCCCACTATCAGGGATCAAACCAAGAACCTTTGAGTTATAAGGTGAGCACGTTGACTATTTTTTCAAAGTGTAAGTTGAGGGTCCCGAGTTCGATCCTTGGTAGTGGGGTCATAGATAACTATTGCGGAAGAGTTTTGAACGCACACGGAGTAACTGTTCAGTACTCTCTGATTTTCAATCGTTCTCCAACTCATATCAGTTCGTGATCAATATTGAATTCGATCAAATCCCTGAAAACGGAGTCTTGAAAATTCCACATTTTCCATGAAAAGAGCTAGCGGCGGTCAAACGAAAACATGGCACCACTCAATAAATCCACAACAGTTAGTCTAAGCCACGTAGGAAGGTGTAGACTTCCTGACTAGTTGGGGTCCTCGGGACGGTAAAAAGCAATAGTTGGAAACAATTGGTGACATGGCTCAAAATCGTTCTCAGTGGCGCAGATGCATCCACTCCGTGTGACTTATGATTGCCAATTAAACTCTTTTGTTCTTCGTTATTACTATTCGTTTGTCTCACATCTGTGCTTGCTGTCTCTAATATGCATTTCTCCTACTTTCTTCTCTTGCTTTGTGTGCTACAAGGAGGGAGTGTGGCGGCTTGGACTGCAGCACATATGTGCAAAGTCCTATGTCGAAAACCGACCGACCGACATTTTCCATGAGGGAAGTGTAAGATCAACTACTTAGTGAATTACCAACCAATTTATATTGCTGTTCATGTCATAAACAGAGGGGAAACGTTTAGAAGACAAGTATATGACTTATTATCCTACGTCTTCAGACCAATGAATAAAGATGAATGTGGTTCTTCCACTTTAACAAAACAAAATAAGAATAGGCAACTTGCAAACATTAGAAACATTCAGAAATCAATATGAAAGCACTTACTATAATAAGGAGGATTTCTGATCCTTCTGAGATCAGCATGATTATGTGATGATGATAATAACTGGGAAGTATCAGATGAGGATGATGAAGAGAATGATGATGATACCGTGGACGCTGGGGAACTAGAATGTGAATCATCCACTGGATTATGTTCATCACGGGGTTGATCAAAATCCAGGCACCATGACTGTGGTCGTTGATGTGGTTGACAATGACTGAAAATCTGTTCTTCATACAGTTTAAGACTATCCGTCATAGCAAATCCTTTAGGTCGAGATATTGCACGTGTACTGGGGATTTGTATTCGAAAATAATTTGGATTATTTCCAGAAACATTAGAACGAATATTTCTCAATTGATCCGACGTATTAGACGTTGTAATCTTATTTCCACCGGGTGTCATATTTTGTTGACGCATAGATGAAACACTATTCCGTGGTCTTCGAGAATTTAACAACATTCGTAAATCCTGACTTCCTTGTTCAGAGGTTTCGTTAATCATTGTGGGCGTTGACAATCGAGCCTGTGGTGAACAATTCGGTTTTATTATATCTTCAATTCCCATAGACTGAGCATTGGGCATGGCGTTCACGTAATGATCAGAAGATGAGTGAAAAAATCGTTGAGATGGATTCGAAGAGGAGGAGGAGGATGTGTTAGTAGTTAGTACACTGAAACACCGTAATTTAGGACGCTGAAAATTTTGTTCCGTTAAACTACAACGTCGTACTGCACCGTTGCATAATAAGTTATCATAGGACCCAGATGGCCGTAATAATTCTGGACGATTTCGCACACTAGGGGAAAATTTTGTCGGGGTAGTAGTAGTAGGACGTAAATTATGCAGTGCAGTAATACGCACCACACTATGACCACCTTTCTTGTTACAAGTAGATTCAAAACGAGGCAGTGGGGGTCGACGACTATTTACATGGACATTTACACTTGTTGGCGAGACTTGTTGTGTAATCTGTTCATTACTATTATTATTGTTACTAGATTTTTGGTACAACGAAATAGTACCACCATTATTTCCAGTTAGAAATAATGTAGCTGACCCGCTAACTGAAATTGCAACTGGAGAAACAGGACAACGAACAATAGGCTGTTGTATTATTGACGATGCCTCAGACAACCTTGGTAGGGCAGAGAAATTCAGTCCACAAGTTTGATTGTCAGTCTGACTAGGTGAGAGAGAGACTGGATTTCTATCGACCGATATGCCAAGGTCATATAAACTTTGTTCTCCAATCCGGACTATTGGCGAGACTGGATTACTATTTGATAATGACGATGAGTCACGATTTAACCATTTATTATTATTATTATTGTTGTCTGATACTATTCTATTGGAAGTTGTTGAGGAGTTAGATGCGCCAATCATGATGGCTATACTACTACCATTGGTATTTGGGGTGAGAGCTGTATTCTGCATTGATCTTTCGTATTGGTTATTTTTCAGACGTCCTGCGTTTGTCATTCCACTTGTATGTATGTCCATTACGAGTCGTGTTGGTTGTGTATTTTGTTGACATTTAAAATTCATGTCGTATGAAGAATGATTTGTAGTGGGTTTTCTTTGTATCACTAGACTATTCTGACGTCGAATACATCTAACTTGTGACAATGTTGTAGTATTATTTGCATTGTAATTAGCATTTGTCGTTCGAGGTGGTGATACTGATCCATGTCGAAAATAGGATAGTTTTATTCTTCCTCCTCCTCCTCCTTGTGGTGACGCAGATCTCCTAAGAATATTGATCTGTGGACCACTGTGCACAGTGACTCGAATATTTCTACCTTCTAAACTTTTGTTGTTCATTATCGTTGTTCTTCAGCTGAGGAATATATCCAGGGAAAGGTTAATTTGCTCATTCTCATAGGAATAAACACTTACTTAAAGATACATCATGGTACTATGTACTGAATTCACTCCTGAAACTAATGGATATATACTGTAGGAAGAACATGTGTGCATGTGTGTGTGTTTGTATGGTACACACAATGCCACCACCTACGTACTAATTCTAGCCCATCCATATACATGGTAGCCCCCCCCCCCCCCCCCCCCCCCCCCCCATCCCATATCTGTTCTTTCAAGGTTGTGTGGGTTTTCCACCCACTGCAGGTGGAATGAATGGTTGCATATCTGGTTATCCCTGGTTCGATATTTCGCCAATCCAGAAACCGATTAGATTAAAATATTCTATCACATATTGCTACTACAATGACACTATAGACATTAAAGGTGTATATGTCACTAGTTTGCTAATAATGGGAGTAGGGGAACAGCAATGAAATGAAAGGAAAATCAAATATTATTATTATTATTACTTCATTATAATGGTATAGTGCGTGTGCGTAATTAATTCTTTCCTATTTTTTTAAAATCCCTTTCAATCCCTAACCTATTGCGTAGCACTGTAGGTATCACATAGTTATTGGATTATTCAACTAATGAAGTGATCACGGGATAAGTGTTTAGGTCAAGCAGCAAAATTTGTGATCTTTCCCATTTCTGATTGAAGGGATAAATTAGGAAATTCTGAATAGATAATTCCTTATATAGTGTTGGTTTTTAGAGATTTGATTGGTTACAGGATTTCATCATGAGGTGACATTAGTTAGAGAACCATTGGGAAACCACTACTGGAGTACTGGACAGCTATTTCGCCCTGGTTTGGGACTCTTCATCAGTACGCACCCACCGGGATTCAAACCCAGGACCTTCTGGTTACAAGGCGAGCTCGTATACCATTAAGCCACTGGGACCCGATCTAATGGTCCATGAATTCTAACTTCTGCCAATTCATGACATAGCGCGACCCCTAGCCTGGGGTTCTAGTGAGAAGTCGTGACCAGTAGGGTGCAGCAGGTCGGGTGTGAGGACAAATACTCACCAGCGATGACATTGGCTAGGGGTCGCACTATACCGTGAATTGGCAGAAATTAGAATTCATAGGTCATTGGATCGGGTCCCACTGGCTTAATGGTCTACGAGCTAGCTCGCCTTGTAACGATAAGGTCCTGGGTTTGAATCCCGGTGGGTGCGTACTGATGAAGAGTCGCGAACTAGGTGGACGAAACAGCTGTCCAGTACTCCAGTAGTGGTTTTCCAATGGTTCTCCAACTGATGTCACCTCGTGATGAGATAATTCCTTAATTCAGATAAAGATACTGGTTATCATTATTATTATTCCCTTGGGATCCGAGTGGAACATGGGACTTCAACAGAAGCACATCTCCATTTTGTCCTCTTTAGTTGGCTCTACAATTGCCCATAGGCTCTTATCTCCTCCTCACACGATCTCTCCCATACCATCCTCGAAGAGATGCCCAACTCGTTTCCTGTTTGGGTTTCACTCGAGGTCCTACACACACACACACGATGTGACCCAACGGTCTCTTTCTCCTTGTGTCCAAACCATCTTCATTTTCTTGGGGCATATTTGTTGAGTAATAGGTTCTTGGTCGGTTCGTTCCAAGGGTTTCTTGTTGCTAATTTTTTCTGGCAAGACGGTCATTTGATCTTAAGTATACAGGCCACAGAAGGCAGCCATTGATGAAAGTCTTCAACAATCTGTTGGAAATGTTTCTTGTGGCGTGCGCACCAAGTTTCTGACACATGCAGAAGCACTGAGATTTTACAAATATAATTTTATAAATGTCTACTTCTCACTCAGCGCTCAATTATTTTGCAACTATCCGGTCAAATCTTGATCACAGTTCATATGAACAGAAGCACTGATGTTGAAAATTCGAATTTCGTTCTTTGTGCTAAGTTATTCCAGAGCGATAAATGTCTCTCTTAGCTTTCCACTTCTGGCTGGTTTTGATATCCTCATCCGATATCTTGGAGAGACAAGCGACTCCTTTCAATGATGAATTGGCACTTTAGGTTTGAAAGTAAATACTCATTACCGATTCACACCCGTTTGAGACACAATGAAATTTGTGTTTTTTTAAATGATAATTGTTCGTTATTTTCGTTTGTTTGATTGGAGGATGTCATCATGAGCTGACACCAGTTAGAGAACCATTGGAAAACCAGCAGGGAGTACTGGACAGCTATTCTGTTCACCTAGTTTGGGACTCTTCACCAGTACTCACCCACTCAGGACCTTCTGGTTGGGACTTGATCCAATGGCCAACCCATGAATTCTAACTTCTGTCAATTCATGATATACCGCAAACACTTCGCGATGCCTTCTTCGATGAGTTACTGCCTCATCTCCAACTTGCTGTACCCTACTGGTCACTACTTCAAACTAGAACCCCAGGTTAACTGCCTGAATAGGACCAGTCGCTAGTGAGCATCAGATTAATTTTTAAGTATTGGTTTTGTAGGGATTGTTTTGTTTGTTTGACTGGCTGGAAGATTTCATCATGAGGTGACATCAGTTAGAGAACCATTAGAAAACCTGGGAGTACTGGTCAGCTGTTTCGTCCTAGTTTGGGACTCTTCATCAGTCCCAATGGCTTAATGGTCTACGCGCTAGCTCGCCTTGTAACCAGAAGTTCCTGGGTTGGAACCCTGGTGGAGGGTGCGTACTAATGAAGAGTCGCAAACTAGGTGGACGAAACATCTGTCCAGTACTCCTTGCTGGTTTTCCAATGGTTCTCTAACTGATGTCAGCTCATGATAACATCCACCAACCAATCAAACAAAATGCCTACAAAACCAATACTTGAAAATTTTTGTTTGTGTTGCAATTTATCACGGTATTTAGATAGCCAAGGTTAAATACTTTCGTGGATTAGACGACCACCGTCCAAGTCGAGTACCTAAGAGATTTGCCACGCAATATGTTGAAAGCTTCGTGTCAACATACTGGATCTCATAATACAGAAGAACTCTATTTAGATGGCTCGGATACTCCGGATCAAACTAATTTCAACCAACATCAAGTTCTGTTCCAGTTATTATCGACTAGATAACTGACGTCTTGTCTATGAAGATAATTCCTAGACGGTGAAAGTGGATTGGTAATGCACACCAATATACTAATAATTATTCAGAATATATTTTCACTTGGATTATTCTTTAGTACCACTATGACTGATGGTATTCCTGATTTCAGTGAACTGGATCATGCAAAAGATCGTGAGGAGCGACAAGATGGGCATACATTGGACCAATAAGGCGACTCTAGAATGTCTTGACTTCACGGATGATTTACGTCTACTGTCACACAAACTCAAAGATTTACAGACAAAAACAGGCAGTGAGGACAGGACTCCAAGCGAACATACAGAGGAAAGAGGTGATAAAGATACCTAACTAGCAACAAGGACAAACACCAATTACTACCAACTGGAGAAATCTAAAGGAAGTTGCCTCTTTCAATTGCTTAGGTAGCATCATTCCAACTGCAGACAGGCGGCACGGAATAGGATATCAAAGTCAAACAGGATTTGAAAAGCAAGACAAACTTTTATTATTCTGAAATCAGCGTGGGAATCTGCTGCATTCAGCATAAAGCACAAGATTCGGATTTTCAACATCAGCATCAAGTCAGAGTCTTGGTGCACACATCACCAAGGGCATTTTCCAACAAGTTGCTGCAGACTTTCATCAGCGCCTGTCTTCTCTGGCTTCATATTGAAGGTCGAATGGCCGGTCGGCGGGAAAGAATAAGCAACAAGAAACTCTGGCATTGAACCAACCAAGAATCTGTTGCCCAACTAATATACTGAAGGAAATGGAGATGGACTGGACACAAGCTGAGGAGACGGCTGAATGACATCACACCCCAAGCTGTCGAATGGAAGCAAAGTGGGAAACAACGGGTTGGATATTAGTCTGATAGTGATATGGAGGAGATAGTGTGAGGGGGAGATGAGAGCTTAAAGGCAATCATGGAGTCAGCAAGCTAAAGAGGACTGGAGAGAACAAGGCAAAATGGAGATGTGCCGCTGTTGAAGCCCAATGTTCAGTTCAGAACCCAAGGGAATAACAGTAATATTCTTTAGTGCGTCAAGTTTTATCCTGGATCTTGGATATTGTCATATATTTTTGTGACAGTTATCTCTTTATGTCTTAATATCGTTTGAAATTCAGGAGTCTGTTTTTGTCTTGCTTAAGGCACGTCAAACTGATGCATCTGAATCTCAGTGAATAGTGCATGGCCTTAATAAACTGGAATCTAGGACTTGAAGGTTCTAAATGCTAAAGTTTTATCTGCCAAAATACTGAGCCACACTAGTTACCTCTAGCTCAACGGATGATTTACTTTTTATTTCAAGTGTGATCACTGAATTTCGGCCTAATAGCCTGGATGTCCCAGGTTCAGTTTCCTGGGGATTAAGGGCTGCGTACTCTAAGGAAACCATCAATTAACATCACTAGACAAGCCCTCGAGTGGAACCCGAAAGGGAAGCGGCGAGTTGGTCGTCCAAGGGTGACTTGGAGGAGGTCATGTGAAGAGGAGATGAAAACGTGTGGGCAGACTTGAAGCCAGGTGAAAACTCTAGCAGAGAACCGAACGCAATGGAGACGCGTGGCTGAAGCCTTATATTACTCTAGGAATTAAAGGAAATAATAATAATAATAAGGGTTGCGTACTATTGATGAAACATCTGTCCAGAACACCACAGTTTTCAATAGGCCTCTGACTGATATTAATCCGTGATTAAACTTGAAACCAATGAAATCCCCGCAAACTAGAGTTTGAAAATTGTTTTTATTTATTGAAACCTGAATTTATCGTTGTTTGTTTAGCTGGATTGAAGTAACTAGCTTCTGTTTTCAAATAGAGATGTAACTCAAAAATCAACTGCATAGAATTGCAGTTGGTAATGAGCCATACTTATTGTGTATGAGGGATAGTGATACAATATGGCTACCAAAACCTTGACCGTTGGAACAGGGTTCGAACCCGTGACCCACTGGTTGGAAGTAAATGGACTAATAAAACGTTACTTTCTGTCTCT